TAAATATGCTTTCCTCTAAAATACTCTTTTTCTTTGCTGTTCTACTGCTTGTATATATATATATATATATATATATATATATATATAGCTGTATGCCTAATTGGAATATTCTACATATTAGCATCCGCAGACATTAGTTGATTACCTACATCATATACAAATAGCATAAAAACAGTCCCGTTATGCAATAAAAATCTATACCAATGCACAAAATGACACATACACTTATACAATGGTAATACAGACCCAATCAAATAAATGTAAAATCTACATAATGTTTGGCTTTAATCTACAGATGGTTTGTAAAATTCAGTTTTCCCGAAACATCTGGATCTCTTTAATGTTCTCTGAGAAAAACACTTCTTTCTAATGGATTTTGCAGATGTTAATAATCATAGTCTGTCATATGTAATTACTTGTGTTACTTTTTTCTGTTAACCTACTTTGATGATGACTGTTTTTTATTTTTTTATTTTATTTTATTTTATTTTATTTTTTTTTTGTGGTAGCGACCAGAGCTGGAGAAATAATTGAGCTGAACTATATTGAGAGCCTGATTTCTATTTGCTGTATTTTTCTCTCATCATGTCTCTTGTTTTGTTCTCTGACAGATGAGAACAGTGAGTCAGAAAGCGACACAGAAGAGAAACTGAAAGGTGAGAGAAAAGGAGTACGGTATATTAAGAAACCAGTTAGTGCATGTCTTGTTATTCAAATATGGAATAGTTTTGTATTTCCAAGGTTTTTTAGTAGTCACAATCCACTTGCATTTATAACCATGTGCTGTTGACTTTCATTAATGTATCCTTGCATGTGTGTTTGCTTGCTTGTGAAGGATGTTCCAATGTTAACTAAAAGGTTTGTCCCCCATCAGCTCACAGCCAGCGGCTGGTATCAGTCCAGTCCATGCTGAGGCAGACGGGTCGGTACAGGACCTTGGAGAGGGATTTAATGGAGCTACAAGAGAGGAAACTCTTTGAATATTTCATCGTTGTTGCACTCCACAAGACCAAGGCAGGAGTCCCTTACCTGCCAGAAGTCACACAGCAGTTTCCTCTGAAGGTAAAACAGTATAGGGAGGATTCTGAAGACAAATGTGCTGCTTTACACTATTTTGTTGTTATTGTTTATTTTAATAGACCTTAGTTTGATAATATTTGTAGGTATTTCTAATAAAAGTCAAACAAAATATTGTTCTAGAATTTTTCTGATCACATTCTGACTAAGTCAGGTGTGATTTTTACTTCATTTGCATCAAAAGGAGAAAAATAAGGACTTTTTTCAAAGTCTTCTGAAAATGCATGTAAAATATTTGTCATCTTTTTTCTTAGAACAGTTTCTAATGATGTAAAACAACCACACTTACAATCTAGGTCTAATCAAAGATAAAAAATACATAACAGTATTGATATAAAAGTCTCTTTTGCATCCCTCTGCAAAGGGATATTTTATTATTTTTATTTGCACTCTCTATTTATAATAATAATATTATAATAATTGAACTTTATTGAGCTCACATTAAGCCATCCCATCAAGGAGCAGTGGGCTGCCATCGTTGGGCACCTGTGGAGCATTGTGGGGTTAAGGGTCTTGTTCAGAGACCCAGAGTGTTTGTGGGAGTGGGGCTTGATCTCAGACCCTCAGGATCCAAAGCTCTATGACCTAACCACTAGGCCACCACTCCCCTAATATTTCAACTTTATTGATCTCACACCAGAGAAATGTATCTCTGCATTTAATCCATCACCTTGGGGAGCAGTGTGGGGTTAAGGGCCTTGCTCAGAGAGCTAAAGTGGAGGCTGTGGGGATCGAACCGGGTACTTGCAGCCTTCTTATAACACAAGCACACTGCTCTTACCCACTAATCCAACACTCTAGCTGAGGTCTGCTTGTAGGATTATGATATAATCCTGCAGGACACTAATGGTTTTTCTGTCTAGTGAGCCAATTTTTGTGCTAATTTGGCCTTATACTTTAGTTGATCCATTATCAGTTTTTGTGTTATCTTCTAGATTTCCATTCTAAATGTGCTTGTGTTTGANAATTTTTGTGCTAATTTGGCCTTATACTTTAGTTGATCCATTATCAGTTTTTGTGTTATCTTCTAGATTTCCATTCTAAATGTGCTTGTGTTTGAAGGCCATGCAATGCCCAAATACTCAGAATCTCAGCTGTTGACAATAGAGTCCATGATGGTCTTTGCTGCAAGTCAAACCAACCCACATTCCTAGTTATAGATTCAGTACAGTTTATCACATTGTTATCTGGTATTTCTCCCAGTTAACATTTCACATTTAGATGTTTTTAATGGAAACACGATGACAAACCAAGATGCCTCTCTTTGCTACAGTTCCCAGTCTCTCAGTATTTATAGTGAAGAAAAAGAAGAGATAGAAAGTACTTTATCTTTATCAAACCATCTGAGACACAAATAAAAAACTCTTTAACGGATTGGTAGGATAACCAAATATTGTGCTTCTGATCATTTTTTAAATTTCTGTACAGGATATTCCCCTGCTTGATAAATACACTTCAAAGATTTTTATATGCTACTGCAATATAAAATATTTTTTTTCAATTCTTTTCTTACACATGAATACAGCCAGTGATTTATGTTTAATGCTTCCAGGAACATCAAATGTAATCTGTAGTATTTAATGAATTTAACACATTTCTCTTTCATTCAGCTTGAGAGGAGCTTTAAGTTCATGAGGGAGACGGAGGACCAGCTGAAGGTCATCCCTCAGTTCTGCTTCCCTGATGCTAAAGACTGGGCCCCAGTCGACAACTTCCCCAGGTCAGTCCAAGTCTGAGCGCTGCCAGGATATGCTGCATCAGGAGAAAAAAAAAAGCTCACTTCAGTAGGATTTCCCCCTTAAGTGGGAATAGCTCAGCTGTTTTTGTGGCTAGTAACCACCTGGCTGTGAAAGCCTTAAAGAGATGACTGAGCAGCTTGTCCAGGTTACACGTCGATCTTTAATCACAGGGGACAGAAAAAGACATATTCACAGGAGCTGGAGTGTTTAACCTTCTCACTATTTGCTGTTTAAAACTGTCTGTTATTGTCACTGCCTCCACTCTGAGGAGCAATTACGCGTTTCTAATGTTGATGGATAATAATCACCTCAACAAAACTGTCTGACAGGTGAAAGGCTCCTAAACAGACATACAGTCTCATATGACTGAGACTTTCTCAGGTCAGGAGGGTCATTTAAAAGGGAATGACAACCTGTCAGCTATCTATCTATCTATCTAGTTCTCTTATTTCTATGTTCTCTGTTTTACCTCCACACAGTGAGACGTTCTCATTTGTACTGACTGGTGAAGATGGAAGCAGACGGTTTGGCTATTGTCGCCGTTTACTGGTACGCATAAAAAAGTCTCTTTAGCTTCTTTTAACTGTAGGTTTGTTTTTTTGATGATGAAGTTATTAATCTAAAATCTACTGCCTCTAATAGATCTATTGAAATTGTGTTTTTTTTCTGTTGGAAAAGATACAAACAATTTCTGTTTTTATTTGTTTTATTGTGAAAATGTGTCGTGTTTGCAGCCAAGTGGTAAAGGCCGAAGGCTCCCTGAGGTCTACTGCATCGTCAGCCGCCTAGGTTGCTTCGACCTCTTCTCTAAGGTAGTTGGAGCCACTTAGAAGAAAGATGAACATTTTAAATCATTAATCAAATTTAAAAAGAGATCTGTTTCATCGTATTAATCATTAAATACTATTTTCTCTTATCTTTTGCATTCTTAAGTTTTTCAAATTGAACAACTATGACACATCATTTCTATACCCCAGGGAAACAGGAAGATGTGGATTAAAGCTTCCTCGCCACTCTGATACAGTTATATGGAATAAAATTGACTTTTATTCAACCCAAATCATAAAAGCTTGATTCCTTTAAAATGTTTAGTGTGAAATTTTGCCACTGCAATTAAAAATTAATAAAATTTTACAGTTATTTTACACATCTTTCCCATGGTGCCAATTATGTGAAAGGGGCTTTACTACTGTATGTTCAGACCTACTAACTACATCCAACTGCTTGGAGGAGTACAACACATTAAACCTCACATATGCCAACCCAGAACCTGCCCCTATTAAAAGCGTACCACCCTCGGTGCTGACAGAACCCCACCCGCTCTCTGCCCTCTCTTCTCTCGCTCTGAACCTTGTCGTTTTGGCTGTAGTTCAGCAGCACATATGAAATGCAGATGGCGTGGTTGCTACTGTGGAAAAAGTTCCCTGTAATGAGTTTTGGATTCATCTGCTTCCTTCACTGTGTTCTCCATACGGTTGAAGGATATTAATTTGTATAGATAAATAGTCGCGGTTTTACTAAATTAAAAGGAAGCACTTTTTTAAGCTTTGAGGGAATATGGATTGGGGGGTATTTTAGATGTTAATGTATTACAAGCAGATTTAAAATCTTGTGGCTGTTTATTTGGTGCACATTTATAAGCCATTGGAGTGCTGTAAAAATTATGTTTTTCTTAACCCTTTATAGGGCACTCAGTGAAATACTTGAAAATGAAAAATTTAAATTAAGAGCATTATTGGAGGACAGGAAAAGACCCTATTAATTTTGTAACATTTAAAATATATGTATATTTTGATGGTAAGAACCATGGTCAGTGTAATAACCCTTAAATATAAAAAAACAAAGTGCTTTTATAAAAAAATTATGAAAAACTCACAGAGTGAATACATTTACTTGTTTTCATATAAAACACAACCATAACAAGATTAATGCTGATAGAGGCATTTGTGTTTTGTACTTTTTGAATTGGCTTATTAACTTTTTTACTTTTCAAATAGCTTTGTTATGTTTTTACTTGGCCTTTTACCTTTTAACCTAACTTTTAAACATAATTTGCAGCAGGTAACATATCATCCAAGGGCTCATTTAATTGATCAAATGCCAAAATGATGTGTACTGCGAAGTAGCAATATCTTTGCTGAATGGCTGATATAAATCTTGTGATTCTAGACCTCACTGATGGATGGGAGGGGGTCTCCATTTGTAAGGGAATGCAAGCGATCAAAATGGTAACTTGCTCTATAAAGGAGAGCTTTAAAATAGGCTTATTTAGGATTCCAGCTACATAAAGAAGTTGGACTTATATCCCCTAGCAACCCATAGTAACCACATTTAATCATATTCTTTGAATTTGGCAATGTCTCAATAGAAACAAATGAAAGAAGAAAAATTTTAAAAGTAAAATTCACAAATTCTTCTAAATGATAAATCAAAATCTTATCCCATCTAGAAATCTATGACAATAACGATAAACAATAGAATAAATGCCCGCCCCTGTGGGCTGCTCAGTGTAGGTTATTGGCACAGTTGCTTTGCAGCAAGAGGGTCTTGTGTTAAAATTATGGTCTGGATTCTTTCTGCATGGGGTTAGCGCATTCCCACAGTGAGACACATGAGATGCATGACCTTCCACCATTTCCTGGTGGAGAACCATAGCCTCAGACTTGGAGGAGCTGATCTTCATCCATGCAGCTGCAAACTCACCCATTGCATGCTGTAGGTCTTGGTTAGGGGGAGCCAGCAGAACCGCATCATCTGCAAGTGGCAGAGACAAAATCCCTATTACCCACTTTTTCCACTTGTACCAGCTCAGTGATTCAGTATAGGTCGATTCACTTTTTCCATTAGTTACTGTTATGTTGATCAGTTTATATTTTTAGTCCCTGCTTGCTTGTGGGTCTACATCAGAGGACTGTTTTAAAAGATGAATCAAACTGATCTGATCTGAGTAGGTAAGGTACAAATGGAAAACTGGAATATGAGCTGGAATCAGTCTTCCTTAGGTTTTTGTTTATCACTGAATACATATAATTAAATCTAAAATAGATTAATCAGTGTATGATTATATTGCTGCATTTGAACTATGTTTGCAGGGTTTTAAGGTCCTTGATTTGGCTCCTTTTGTTATATTTCAGATCCTGGATGAAGTGGAGAAGAGGAGGGCCATCTCTCCTGCTCTTGTTCAGCCTTTTATGAGAGGCATCATGGAGGCTCCCTTCCCGGCACCAGGAAGGACCATTACTGTCAAAAACTTTTTACCTGGCTCTGGAACCGAGGTGCACTAATGCAAATTTTTCTCAAGTGATTCACTGCAAACCCAATTAAAGTGTAAAAGAAATATTCTTTTGATAAATATGTTACATTAATGCCCTTCGATTTACTTTTTCACAGGTCATACAGCTTTGTCGGCCGTCCGATTCCCGGCTGGAACACGTGGACTTCGAATGTCTCTTCTCTTCGTTGAGTCTCCGTCTGCTCCTCCGAGTTTTTGCCTCTCTATTGCTGGAGCGCAGGGTCATTTTCACTGCTGACAAACTTAGGTTGGTTCTAGCGAGAAAAAAAAACGATGGAGCATGTTATTTTCTTTATGTTTGGACATTAAATAGTGCCTAATGTAAATAAAGGATGGGTATAATGCTGAAGAAAGTAAAGAATTGGAAGAGAGACCTCAGGATGGCAAAAAGATCCCAACCGACTAAGAGGAAGGAATGTTGTTGTGTTATGAAGTCACCTCAGGAAAAATCAGCTCTTCAATGGAATATGGTCATGGATGCCAGACAGACTGCTTTGAAGCATAACTCCAGTTACAGAGTGCTCTGCAATGTTATAACACCCACAATATCCAATGAGAGTTTTTCCATCCAGTCTGCGTCATAGATACACCCCCCCACTGGGATTCAACTGTTTTTATTTGGTCTTAGTGAATTTATCACTGCCCTGCATGAAGCTCAGATATATTCTAGCTTTAGTACAACTATAACAACTATTTCCTTTGACCTTAAATTCTGGTTTAAAGCACTTTTGAAATATGTTAGTGCCATCCTGTGGTGACAACTATAATTTCTAGATCTATGTTTCTGGATTTGTAACAGTTTTCATGTGGGAGGTTTAGGGGAACCTTTTTGTATATATTGTAAAATATATAAGGATATTCTTATACTGTCTATTAACTTCATAAAACATATTTAACAAGTTTAGGAGGCATTACTTGAGGATATGAACTAGTGTAATGTAAAAAAAATTAAAAGCATTAAATGCTTTATCTGTTACTTGGCAGTAATAGTAAAGTTGCATATCACACAGCAAGCTGCAGGATATTTAAACACAGAAGACTTTACTTTAACTTTTAATAAAGCATACAGACTGCCATGTCATGCAAAATTTTTGAATCCATTTAAGTTTTTATTTCAAGACTTTTGTCAAAAAAAAAATGCATACAGGCTTCCTGCACACATTCAGCCAAATAGCATTTTGAAGGTTATGGCTCAAACACACAAATTTATTGCTCAAAACTTATTTTGATATTTGTTCACTTGATTTTAAGGAATTGGTAGAACGCATTGATAGCTTTGTCAGGCATTTAGTTAAACAAAGTAATGCTGTTTATAAGAAACTAATAAATCTTAAAAGATAATTTAGGAATTTGATAAGAGCTGTGATTTGGGTAAATTAAATATAATTTGATTTAATTCTTGCCACTAGATGACAACAAAGAGCTTTTAAATGTAGCTTTTTGTATGTGTTGAATATGCAATAACAGGAAATACTGCTAGACACAAATAGTCTTGGCAATCTTATGGTTTTAATGCAAAAATCTAGTCTCAGCAGAGATAAGACTGAGGCTTTTCCAAAAGCATTTCAGATACCTGATATTTGCTTGCTATTTCCCAGTAAAATTTTTTTTATTTTCTATCCATTTGGGATCATTAATTGTTGTTTGGGATCATTAGAGCTTTTGCTCTTCTCCCTTTTTCTATCCCTTATGTTCAATGTGCCAGGATTACTATCTGTAAAAGGGGCCTGTTGCTGCTAATACTAGCAGACTTTAGTTATTGTTTTTGACAAATAGCTCATTCTTTGCCTAATCTGGATATTTTACTTTTATTTTGAAGGCATCTGTCCCATGAGTGGGAGTAGCCGCTCATTTTAGCAAACGATTATGTTTTGGCGTTTATGTGTATCTTTTCTCCCCCTGCATTATGATGTTGAAACTTGAGGTTTGGTTTGTCCCAGATTGATCCAAAACACTACGATATTATTTTTAATTTTTCTAAGTTCTGACCAACTCAAGAGAGCGGTCAAACAAATCACTTCGAGATATTTTGCTATACTGTAGGTATTTTCATTACTATAGGCACCATTTTCTCTGAGCTGTTTTATAATCTAGTATTAATTAATCTGGGAATTTTGAAAGGTATAATCTAATTCTGCATCCCATCTTTCCACAGCACGTTGTCGCAGTGCTGTCATGCCGTGGTGGCTCTGCTCTACCCCTTCACCTGGCAGCATACATACATCCCCGTGCTTCCACCGTCCATGTTGGATATAGTCTGCACTCCGACTCCTTTCATAGTGGGCCTGCTCTCCAGCTCTCTACCTCGACTCAAAGAGTTGCCCATAGAAGAAGTAAGTCATGACTTCTCTCCTTTGTGGTGCCCTTGGCTTTGAGGATTTCCTTTGCTGAACAATAACTCAGGAAAATGACATCACTCTCCCCGTTTCAGGTCCTGGTGGTCGACCTTGGCAACAGCCGCTTCCTACGTCAGGTAGTAACTACAGAAGCAAAGAGAACAATTTTAAAATCACTAAATAAATTAAGTAAAGAATGCAAACTGAATTTATCTAAATATTAAATTGTTGCTCCTCAACAGCTGGATGATGAGGACTCTATTCTTCCTCATAAGCTGCAGGCAGCTCTTGAGCAGGTGCTGGAAAAGAGGAGGGAGCTGGCATGTGAGAAAGGAGACCTGCCTGATGGTGATTTAATAAATTTATATTTATTATCTATTATGGTACTGAAAACCTGAGAAGAAAAAGGAAATGGGTATCTCTTTCTTTCTGCAAATAGAGATTGCCAGTA